AATCATTGAATTACTAAGTCATTAGCACTAATTTTAAGCCAACTAATTAATATGAGATAATACAATGTCCTATGCTTTGGTAAATTCAAACTATATTTAAACACTGTCTGTAATGTGACTTTCAAAATGCTCCTGGCCTTACAAAGATGAGATTACAATGCAGTAATACACGCTAAAGCGTTTCCCCCTGCAAAGCATGTTGTAACTTTCATTAGTCACATTGAGAGTCCAGAAGATGAAGGAAAAGGTTGTAGATTTCGCTGAGAACTTACCAGAGTTGAACTCCTTCACTTTCCGTTGCCCAGCATTGGTGGGTTCCAAGAGTGGTGGCTATAGTGGCTCATTGGTCTTTGGTCTCTTAGAAGGTGGAGAATCATCATTATCTTGAAAAAGAAAATGGTCATTATTGAAGGAACCATCGTAGAGTTACAGCCACCTCCTGGTCAACAACATTCAAAAGTTGAGTGGAGGTTTAAAGGCATTTTGAGTATTAATAATTATTTCTCTATTGTGACCTTCAGCACACTTTTTTCTAGTTACATTTGAAATGTTATTCTTTTGGGATGTGCTCAAGTGAATACTGCTTTTTCCTCCGTCTTGCTTCATTACTTTTGAGTTTGCTTCATTTGAGTCATCATTATAAATCTTCCCTTCTCCTCAAATAACTTTCAAATTGTTGCCAAGAACTGTATTCTATTTTAAGGCTTTTGAGAAAAATCTTTCAATGAAGACAGCCACCTAAAGCTATACGAATATAGAAGGGGATAAAATAAAGCTTAGATTGGAAAAAAATTCAAGATTATACAAAATTCAAGCATACATAAACAAGGGAAGCTGGATAATTGTATGTTCAAATACTTTTAATATGTGCAAAATGTGTAGGCTTAAAGAAATAGAGCTGGCCAGGTATGGTGGCTCACGTCTGTAATTCCAACACTTTGGGAGGCCAAGGCAGGCAGAGCACTTGAGGTCAGGAATTTGAGACCAGCCTGGCCTACACGGTGAAACCCCATCTCTACTAAAAATACAAAAATTAGGCTGGGCGCGGTGGCTCATGCCTGTGATCCCAGCACTTTGGGAGGCCAAGAAGGCTAGATCACCTGAGGTTGGGAGTTTAGAGACCAGCCTGACCAAAATAGAGAAATCCCGTCTCTACTAAAAATACAATATTAGCCAGGGGCGGTGGCACATGCCTGTAAACCCAGCTACTCAGGGCACTGAGGCAGGAGAATCGCTTGAACCCAAAAGGCAAAGGTTGCAGTGAGACGAGATCGTGCCATTGCACTCCAGCCTGGGCAACAAGAGTGAAACTCCGTCTCAAAAGACAACAAAAATTAGCCAGGAGTGGTGGCACATGTAATCCCAGCTACTTGGGAAGCTGAGGCAGGAGAATCGCTTGAAACCGGGAGGCAGAAGTTGTGGTTAGCCGAGATCACATAACTGTACTCAAGCCTGGGTAACAGAGCAAGACCCTGTCTCAACAAAAAAGAAAAGAAAGAAGAAAAGAAGAAAGAAAAGGAAGGAAGGAAGGAAGGAAGGAAGGAAGGAAGGAAGGAAGGAAGGAAG